TTTTAAAATTCAGGGTACTTCTGAAAATTTAAATCATGACTTTCCTTAAAAAGGAAAAACTAGATTAGTATAAACATTCACTGGAAAATTAGCGAAATACCTTCATTTTTAAAAGTAATGTAAACCATTTATTTTATGATGGCTAAATTCCCGATCTTCATCCGGGGTAAAAAAAAAATTGTAAATCAGTACTAATTACACTTAAATAATGCTCAAAACTGACAGACTTATACCAACGCAGTAAATGAAGCTAAAATAATTCCAATTGAATTAATTTATTGTTTTTTGTCCATACGTTTGTTACCTTTACGTTATTAGATTGAGTAAAACATATGCTTAGTAATTCAGCCAATCAAAATGAGGATTAACTGTATTCATTATCATTGGGGTCAATATTATTCAGATAGCATGATCGAGCCTAACTCATGATAGCCAAAATTTGCCTCAATCAAGCCATTTTTCTCGGTTTTATCACTTTCGAGGGGATTAAAAATCCTCATTCCGCAGTGTCTATTATAAAACTTCATAGTATTGATGTAGTTTTAATCGGCACCAAATATATCTATATAATATTTTGTGCCTATATTGGTAGCTACTAAAGCTGGAGTAAATTTTGAGAAGACCAGTAGTACCTCTCACAAAAATTAAGCATCATTGGCGACAACAATAGCGTGGCGATTTTTTATGTTTCTTTTAAACTAATGAGCACCATTTCTCTACTAATTTTGCGAATAACAAATAATTAAATATTATAAAAACGTACAATTAACTTCTTTTTTTTTAATCATGAGAGCTGTAAGCTAGCAAATGTTAATGATGTTACAAATATTTGAAAATAAAATAGAACCATCCATAGTTTACTTAAAACAATGAGTAATGCTAAATCAGTGTGTAAATTCCATTTTTTACATGTCTTTTCTGAACGATCTGTTTTTGAACGAATTTTATGACTGAGTGTTAAAATTTCCCCTTGCAGTCACTTTCTAAATTTTCGAACGATAGAACAAACGATTCTGTAGTTAGAGACAGAGAGAGACACACACGAACTCTTCATTTTAATATTACAGAGTAGCTGAGTATCCGCTCTTCCTACAGGTTGAAAAAAGGAGGAAAATAATCATTAAATCAATACTGAACACTGAACATGCGCAGAACTGAAATCCAATTAATACTGTTGAAGTGTTTATTTATTTATTTTAGTTATTAATTGCTTCTTTTCAGGTGACTTTGCGTTATTACAATCAGCAAAACACGTTTTTAGAAGTTCATCGCATCAAAATAAAGAAAAACTGTATGCAGTATTATTTGGCGTAATACTTTTCCTCGAGATCCATGATCAAAATTTACCACTATCTACAAATTTTACTCCAGTATTTATCCTTTTAAAGGAACCTAAAAACCTAGTTCCCCAGTATATATATTAAAACTGTAAAGCATTGCAGTTTTAAACAGTACCAAACATGCTAATATAACATATAATACTTGAATTAGTGTAATTTGTACATATTACTACTGCACCAATTCCCATAGCACCAGTTGTGCATCTTATGAAAATTAATTAAGCATCATTGGAGACAATAATAGCGTGACAATTTTTTATGTTTCTCCTAAACAGTTTAATACAGTTTCTGTATTAATTTCGAATAATAATTAATTAATGAAAAAAATTCCTCAGTATATTTTTTTAATTTCAGTTAGCACCCCTTTCCAAATTTAATTGAACATCATTGGCGTAATGGTGATTACGCAATGATGGTATTGCAATGGAGAATTTTTACGTTTCGCTAAAAGAAATAGTAATATTTCTCCATTAATTTTGCTTTTAGCAATAGTTAATTTTTTTTTACTTCGATGAGTACACATTGCCAAAGTAATTTAATCATCATTGGAGGCAATTTTTTACCATTCCCCTGGATAAATAAATACCATTTCTCCATCAGTTTTGCCATTAAGTACATAGTTTTTTATTTCAATAATTAACTAACCGTCATTAGCATTAATAATAATTTGGATATTTTTCACGCTTCTCCTAAACGAATTAATACCATTTATGCCTTAATTTTGCCTCCCCGTACATAATTTATTTTTTTAATGTAATTTTCTTTGATTTTAAGTTATTTAGTTTTATAGAAACGTGTTTTAAAAGCATAACTATAAACATGACACGTAGTTTCAGATAACTTCAGACATAACGAATTAAAAATATTTAAATATTAAAGAACATGATGTAAACTTCCTTTTTGAGTAATGAGAACTATATAGCTCGCAAACATTACTGATGGTTGCTATTTTATACCTCTCATAGGATAATAATAATAGCAATAGAATAATAATAATAATAATAGAATAATAATAATACCAAGAGAAATAGGAAACTGTATTCATTTCACGAAATTTTTGCTTTTATAAGCTTGTTCTTCTTTGTCAAAATTGGATGCTTGCAACTCGAGAAGAAGACGATCACTTATACACAGACACGTGACCTATGATCTCAGCGCCAGCTGATCGTATATAAACAATATGGTGTGTTAAAGTCGACGTTTCTCCAAGTTGAAGTTGCGTTTCTCCACATAAGTTACAATGTCAATTAACATTAAAATAATTAAGTAAAACTCCTTGTCGCACATTGAATGTATTAAAATGTGATTCCTTCTCGTCTACATCTCTTTTTAGATTTATTTTTTGTTTGCGAATTTTATTGTAACCGTGACATATTTTTGCTTTTAAATTGCCCGGCAGCTTCAATACATAATTAGTTTGTTTATGTTCTACATAGCTTTGTGCCTGTCTTTGTGTTAACTAAGAAATGTATAGTGAAAGAATTGAAATCTTTGTGAATCGATACTTGGTGAGCTTGGTTTACTCGAAATAGAATGGAAAGAACAGTTGCCAACATAAACAAATGCCCCGTTTCAACAGCTAATCAGAATCAAGATACCCACACTACGCCATTTGTAGGTATCGCATTGAAAGTAATAAACAAATAAATCAGAAGATAATTGGGTACTTGCACTGCAGGAAGAAGAAGAAGGTTACAGATAATCACCCTTTTGCCCTATGACGCCAGAGCTAGTTGATCGTTTATAAGCATAATGGTGCGTTGAAGTTGAGCTACGTTTCTTCACATAAGTTAGATTGTTAACTAAATACAGTGCCGTATCACGCACAGAATTCATTGAAATATAATTCTTTCTTGTGTACGTCTTTTATTTAGATTTGTTTATTTTATTGCAATATATTTCTGTTTTGTGTACCTGGTAACTTCGATGCATAATTAGTTTATGGTCTACATGAATTCGTGCCTGTCTTTTTGTTAAGCAAGAAATATGCAGGGAAAGAATTGAAATCTTTGCTGAAGAATCTTTGTGAAAGAATATAGAATGTGTGACTTAAAGGAATTGATACTTGGCGTGCTTAGTTTTTTTCGAAATAGAATGGAGAGAACAGTTGCTAGCGTAAATAAATATCACGTTTCAACGACCAATCAGGATGGAAATACCCACACTACGTCACTTGCAGGCATCTCATTGGCGAAAAATTTTAAACGGTATGCCACAAGGTTTATTTTGCAAATCATCTGTCCAAGCAAAAAGTGTTGTTATGAAAAATAGATAGGATTATAAATTTTCTTTCAACTAACTTAAATGTGCTGATAGTGTCAACGATTTAGAATAGTTTTTTTTTTTTGTAAAATATAAAAATTCGACTTAAAGAAATGCGAAAGTACCAGGATTAAGCTCTCTGCTTATGAGAATAATGAGTAGAATTTGTGCTACCCTAAATATAGAAATTTAGTTTGCCAAAAACTGTGATGTTGAAAAAAAACTGCTTTTACTGGTAGATAAATCAAAGGTTAGAGTCTTGATGCCTTTGGAAAAAGTTGACAAATATGTTATGTAACACTTTGAAAAAAGAGTTGCACAAAGACGCTGCTTCTTCTAAATGCTGACATCAACAAAGTACAGAAGATAAGTTTGTCTTTGTAACTGATAAATTACATAAAAGTTTATTGAAACTGCAAATCGAGAGGAAATGAAGTGATTATGCCTAACTATGAGATTTAAATCAGATTTATTCGGATACCTTCAAAAATGTGTGTCGAACCTAATTGGCTTCTAAATCAGCAAATGCCCCAATTTATCTACAATGATGTCACTTGCAGGCATCCAATTAAAATCTAAATTATATACAAAATGATAAAATGAGAGATATGAACTATATTCATAAAATAGAAGTGAGAATTAGAAGTATATTTAAAGAAAATGATTGTGAAACTGTCTTTTTTCTTCGAATAAATCGATTTCATTAACAAAGATATTTCTGCTTAAAACTTTTCTTTCCTCTTTTTGTTAAAAACAACGACATTTCAGAGAAAAATAATGGATATTTTGAAGCAATTTCGAAAATAAGTAATAAGGAGGAACATTTGAATAGCCATATAGTAAAATAAATATTGCTTTCTGTATTGTAGTAAACTTTGGTATCTTAATAGCCTAAAAATAAGAGACAACAGAAATTCTCTTTTCATTTTATTATATTTTTTCGATACACAAACTAAATGCAACTATAAAAACAACATTGTTATCATAATAATATTTGTACCATATATATTATAACATGCCAAATCACCATCTCATGCATAGTTGCATAAATTTACATGTGAATTATTTACAATTGCGAAGTTTTATATTTACAAACTCACAAAAGAGCATATTTACAGATCTACTATATACAACTCTTACAACTACTTTTATTTAATATGATAAGTTTTCAATATGATATATTTATTGACCATTTAATTCAATTACAAAAATGCTTTTCCTAACGTGTTAAAGATATTGTGAAATTTTAAATTATTTAATTACTGATTTAAGAGAGATCAGTAGAAATAAAAATTTAGAATCCGAGTAAATTTCTTTAACATTAATAAAAAAAAACCCGATATATATATATTTCTGTCAAATATAGATACAAAAAATAGAAAGAAATGTAAAAAAAAAAAAAATGCAAAAAAAAAAAAAAGAAAAAGAAAAAAAGAAATTATACAAAAAGGATATAAAAAGTTAGAATATGCATTGACCTTTCGAGTAAAGCGGGAGACCTGTTTTTTTTCTGTCACAAATAGATATGAAAACATAAATTTCAATAGAGAGCAATGTTAAAAATAGATATTTCTATTCATATATATAAATAAACATAAAAATTGAGAATATGTGTTAGAACATACAACTTTTGTAAGAAGTGAAAAAGATATTTTTTTCTGTCAAAAAAAAAAAACGATTATTAATAAAAAAAAAATAATTTAAGCATTAATTACCAATTTTTTAATTCTCTCTAAAAGGAATAATATGTATACTAATTAGCGCTTCACCTTAATATATCCCAATTAAAAGATTTACTAAATTATTAAAACTGAGATTAAAGAGCAAGGATGAGCCGATTTACTCCAAACTAGCTTAATGTTTAAACCTTATTGCTCTAATATTATATCTTTTAATTCAGTTTATAGCTTTTAAGAAGCAATGAGAGCCAAGCGTAATGACTCAATTCGTAAAAACCTATGCTAGGATGAAAAATATATATCTATGTATTTGAATTCAGCTCAAATAAGTGCTCAAGGGCCCATCATGGGTGGTACAAAAGCCATGGGTTGAGGTTCGAATCCAATATAACCAGCTGCTGAAGCTGCTCCGTAAGGCATTGGGGGTACAGGGATGGACTGAGAGGAAGCAGGGTACATTTGAGGATATTCCACAGAAGAGGAATAGGTTGTTGCGGCTCCAGCTGTCTGGGCGGTGTATCCAGCCATAGGAGCGGGTACTTGCATTTCAACAATTCCTGATCCAGAGTGGTGATGGTGCCCATGATGATGATGTCCATGGTGATGGTGATGCTGCTTTTTACGTAACAATTTTGCTAGGATACCAGCAGCTAACAAAAGTTCAATACCTTGATTGTTGTGATGGTGTCGTCCGGCCATAACCTGAGTGATGAAATCTCCAGAGAGAACGCAGCAAGCTACTAACAAAGCGAATAAAGTTCTGGAGTTCATTTTTTCCTAAGCAAAAGAAACGAAAAAAGGTTAATTATTCTTTTCTTTAAATTTCACTAAAACATCTGTATTGGAGAAGTTGTTTCAGCCGTTTTATAACTTTTGATGCATCGGTATATTTTGCAAGAGCAAATATAAATTAAAATGTCTTGTGTATGGAATAAGTTATCAAAAATGTAACGAGAAAGGAAAAGTTTATAAGCACAGAAAGTTTCTCAATAGTTGCACTTAATTTATCAAAAATGAAGAAAAAAAGTATGTATATTAGGGATAATAGATCAATATTTAAACAACAAAAAACGCATTATGATTAGTACGTTATGGTAAAAAAATATTATTACGTGTTATCACGTTAAAAAAAGGGTTAAAATATTATGATAAGAAAAGCGGTTGTACAAAACACCAAGAACAGTTCTATTGCTAGTAAAAACAATTAGGATTTAAAAGAGTTTTATTAGAAAGAACGCCAAAATTCTACCTGAATATATAGATCATATAAAATAACAGATCAAAGTTAAATATTTGCTGAAATATTTTGCTGTTTTGCACACCCACTTTTCTGAATAGTTATCTGTCAGATTTCAATAGCGTTTTTCCCTTTTTAAAATTAAACAGCAACCCCTAATGAGTATGCGTTAATTTTGTTTCTTTAAGTAATTCTTATCATATAGGACAGTCTGTCTGGAACAATCTATGTATTTATATTATTTTTTTTCTCCAAAAAATTGTTGGTGGAAATAGATTTTTCTTTTTAGTAGAATCAGTTAAATTCCTTTAATTTTTGGAGGTAAAAGATATTTAGTTTCATTAATTTCATCAAAATAGAATAGTTGCTGATATTGAAATTAAGTTCAATTACTGACATTATATAAAACCAATTTTCATTGTCATTTCCAGGATTTTAATAAACAACATCTAAATACTCATGAACAAAAATTACTTTCAACTTCGAAACAAATTTGAGTTTCAGAACAACAAAGAATTGAAATTAATTTTTCATACGAATCAATTATTTGTACTTGTATTACTTGTAAAAACATTTTACAAAGACGTATACATTTTTATTTAGGTATTTTATGCTTTTATCTACTACAATGATATAATTCAAGCTAAATTGGTTGGACGGATCAATCTAGTAGTCCGACGTAACGGACATAAACTACGCAATGAGAGATATTGAAAAAGGTCACTGCGTCCAGCCTACTAAACTGGACAGTGAGCGTTATGTGAAAAATGTCAATACGTTCGCACTTCTGAGGGATTGGATTTCTCGCTAATGGTACCCTGTGCAGATGCCTTCTCTCATCTAGAAGATGTTGACTTAACTGATTTAAATATAGAAAATATTTTAAAATTTGACAGCCAGGAAAATACCGTCAATCTGCAGTATTTGAAACTCCGTTAATGAAATTTTTGTATAATTCAAATATCAGTTGTCTTCGATTCATTAAAACTTTAATTCAATGTACGATTACTAGCTGCATCAAACATGCAGCAAAATACAGTTTTTTAAGAAAATTTGTAAATGTAACAAACAAAAGTTGAATTTAAAGTGATAATGCACATAAATTTGAAATAAGCTGATAGTAAACCAAAAAGTAAAAAGTGATCAGTCTCCTAAATTTTAATTATAAAAAATTCATAAATTTGCATATTATTTCAAATAAATATTTCAAATTTTTTTATTTTTTTCGGAATATAGATTTATTTACTGAAAGTGAAAACTGAGAGAAAAATTCTAATTTGCACACCTGTTCCAGAATGCTAACAATTGGTTTTAAATTACATATTAATTTAACTACGCAAATCATTTTTTTAGTACATTCCCATTCAAAATATGTATAAACTGGCTTAAATGTATAGGAATAAGTTTATAATTGACTATTTTTAAACGCAATATACAATAAAAAATAAAAAATAAGGAAACTTAATGCAGCTCCATCTGAACAAGTGGCACTTTGGAGAAAAAATCGCCAATGCTACTATAATTATGATGAAGAAAATAATCTTTTGAAATGAAAGCTGTCCGTGCATATCATTAGGTATCGTAGTTGTAAGTAAATATGTACGTTCTATAGCAAAATATTACTGTTATTTTCAATACAACACATTTCGAAACATTATTCAGGTAATACAGAGTGCTCTTATTTTTAAGAAAAACATTACTGCGATCATTTAAAAACAATGCAGATGGCAATTTACAGTATCTTAAACTTTTGTCCAGATATTTAAAATAGTTTCGTTTCTAAGTAATACTGGTCCCGCAAAATTTAATTAAAAAAGTAATTTTATTCATTGTTGAAAAAGATCTATTTGCTTTTTTTATGCTTATATTTGTTCTAAAATATTACAATTTAAAGGGAAGAAAATTATTTCGCTAATAGCGTATCTATAATAAATAAAGAAATTGAGTGCTTCTGAAAACGTCAATTATTTTGTAATTAAATTAATTAATAATTTTAAAATAGTAAATATTTAATTGAGATAAAAAAACTGCAAAACATTTGTTTTTCATAAGTCTGATGATATTACATTGCAATAAAGAGTTTTCAGAAACTTATAAAAAGAGACATATTCTATTATGATAATTTAAAGCATTATTTTTATTGTAATGCGAAAATATCTTTATTGTTTTAATAAAATAGTTTTAAAATTGCATTTCGTTGCGACAATTCCAAACTTCTACTGAAAATTTTATTTAAACGTTATTGACGAATGAAGTTTTGATAATATATTTCGAATAAAAACTTTGAGTTATGAAATTAATCTCTTTTAAAATTAAAAGCCTGATTCTCACTTGTATTTCATTTGTTGGGTAACAACATATATCAAGAATAATTTAATGAATAGTTAAGTATTATTTTGTATTTATTTATTTTAAATTCAAAATTTGTCATATGTAATACTCCAAACAAATTAAAGATTAATGTTCTTTTTTTAAAAAAAATATTAGCTTTTTGAAGACATGTTTATTAAAGTAATAGAAACAAATGGAGAAACTTTTAAGAAATCTTTGATTGTTTAGTGTGCCTTACAGAAGCGAGTATATTTATATGTTTTAAACAAATTATATCCTTATTACCACGTTTTTTATATACATTACAGTTTTAAAGGCTCAATAAAATGAAAAATTGATTGCCTTAAATAGAACCGATTTTTTTTATGAACATTGAACAAGTATAGTTCGATTATCTCTTTGTTTTCACTTTTAGTTAAAACTACATTCGTTCGTAAATATTTACTTACTTTGTAAAGGTTATCCGAACTTGGCTACTGCACAAATATCCAAATGAAAACTGATTTAAGTTTTTTTCCCTCAAAAGTTTAAAAAGTAGTATTTATATGAACGACACCTCCCCCTTCCTCTTTAAAAATACATGCCACTCCTTATTAAGGAAAGGTGCAGTGTTAAATTGCGGGTCTTTAGACGACAAAGGGATTTGAATAGAGGATTTAGATACCAGTTAGTAACTTATTTAGCGAACCCGCGGGCCACATAAGTGCTCAACGTTCCGATCTGTCGGCTACACTTCACCCAACGCTATTTTTGGGAATTGTTAGAATTAAGGAAAGGGTTTAAGTAGATACGTTTTAGAACGACATGTCATGCTAATACTTTCACTTTTCGGTGTTTTTACTTTTCCTAAATCGATTTATGAGATATTGATGGGAAACGAAATAAAAGGGGAATGCGTTTTTAAGATAATTTTCAGGAAATAAATTATGTGAGAAAATGTCGTGTTATAGATTGTCCTGCGATGCATTTTATAGATAAAAATTAAGTGTGTTTCCTCTAACTAGAATTTGTTGAAAATGACATTGTTAATAAAATTTATTGAAGAAATACGCAGCATGTATAATTGGATAGCTGTCATCAATTCTAATTTAAACTATTTTATGTGTTTAAAAATTAAGTTGTTTACAAAATTTATTGGGAAAATATGTCATTGGATAGCTGTCATAAATTTTACTACTATTTTTTATAAATTATTTTATCTGCTTAAAAGCGATATTGTTTATAAAATTGTCAGTAGTGTAAACGAGTTTAAAAATATTATTTCACCACGTAAGAAACTTCTGGATAACTGTCATCAATTTTACTACATTTTTATTAACTTGTTAAGTGCTTGAAAATTACAATATTTATAAGTTTTTTGGCTGACTAAATCAATATCAACACATAAGAAAAGTTTAAATAATTGTCATCAATTTTAATAAATTTTTTATTAACTAGTTTATGTGCTTAAAAGCGATATTGTTTATAAAATTATTAGAAGATTAACGAATTTTCCATATTATTTCAAGGCGTAAAATTTTTTTTAATAACTGTCACCAATTTTACTACATATTTTCATTAACTAGTTTATATGCTCACAAACAAGACTGTTTATTAAATTTTTAGGGGACTAAACGAATTTTTAATATTATTTCAGAAAGTAGGAAACGTTTCGATAATTGTCATCAATTTTACTGCATTTTTTTAACTAGTTTGGGTTCTTAAAAACGACATTGCTTTTAAAATTTTTAGCTGTCTTAATGAGTTTAAAAATATTATTCCAATACGTAGGAAAGGTTTGAATACCTGTCATAATTTTGTTACTTTTTTATTAACTAGTTTAAGAGCCTAAATTATTTTTTGATATATTTGAGAGAGATTTTGATAGTTAAAACGAGATTTCAATATTATTTCAGCAAGTAAGAAAAGCTTGAATAATTATCAACAATTTTACTATACATTGTCAACTAGCTAGTTCATGATGTAAAGAACGAAATTGTTTATAAAACTTTAAGTAGAAAAATTGAGCTTTCAATGTTATTTCAACTTCTAAGAAGAAGTTTGGATAACCATCGTAAACTTTACCAATATTATTAACTAGTTTTTGATCTAGTAATCTTATAATAGAAGTTCTGATAAATTTCCTTCTAGTTAAAGAGCCTAAATCCCTCCAGATTATTCTACCTGAGGAAAATGCTAGTTTCAATCGTTTTCTAACTGCTATAGTAAAAATTTATCTCCAAATTACTACAATGGAAGCTTATTGTCTGTCAAATTTTTTATCACTTTCCAACTAGCTAGAGTGCTTAAATTTTACCTGGATATCTGTGCTGGATGACAATAACAGTTTTAATAGCTTCCTGAGTGCTAGAAAAAAATTTGATTGAGATATTATTGGCCAATTGAAATTTATCTTTCATGAAATTCTGCCTAATTCCCTACTAGTTGCAATGCTCAAATTTGAATGGAAGCTCTGTAAACGATACCATTATAAGTTATAGTTGTTAGCAGAAAGAAAGAAACAAAATTCATAGCCAATCCAAATTTTGGCAAGAAGAAAAAGTGTTTCATAAATTTTCATTGAAAAAGTTTGACTTCTGAAATCCTTAAAAAAAATTTTTTTGACTCTTTCTTTTCTAAAATTTCACTTTAATTTCAAATTTTAATTCTTTTAGTTGCATTTTTTTTTACATTTTGAAAAAAAAGGATTTCAGTATCTTATTTCTAAGCATTGCTCACATCCCTTTTCCACCTTGTCAGAAAAAATAAGCAAACCACAAACCAGGATTCAGAGGGAAAGGCCCTGAACTATCATACTAAAAAACTCAGTTTCAATTTCTAGTAGCGGCTTGAAGTCTAATCAGATTCTGAGAGATGAGTACCAGCTATTCTGAGAATTAAAGGCAATGCTGATCACATTGTCATAATCATGCCGTTGGTCTTGAAATTGTGGAGCCTTTAGGAGGAATTGTAACTCCCCCTGATCCACTACGGGCTGTTGCAGAAATGCTTTAAAAACATGTAGCTGTAGAAAAATTTACAAGGATTATGACGGAATAAATATACCATTGGAAAATTATCAATGGTAAAACTTGTAGCAAAACATACAGTGCGAGTAAACCTGCTGCCCAATTAAATGTAATTGTAGCGATGGAATTTGACTTGTTAATGAAGTCATTTACACACGATTTTTTCCTTTTACGACTGCTAATGTTCAACTACTTAGCCTTGCAATTTTGAACCCAATCCAGAAGACAAGAGAACTGCCTGGATTAAGTAATAAGAGAACATTATCTTCATGAAGGACTTTTTGATGGAACTAACTCGTATTTGCTTTACACGAAGAGGAAGATCAGGAGAACCTCCCACGGTAAGCCTGATGGTAAGGGAACTCTAACCCATGATCCATCTACCACTGAGTACATTTTACGACAGCACTGCGGTCTGTGCAAGCTGGATGCGGAATTCGTATCGATCAGCCATCGCCGGGATTCATTCGGACCCGGTTCTTCTCATTGGAAGGCGAAGGCTCTATCCCCTGAGCTTTCCCGGATCTTTTTTAAGTATAAGTATAGACGATTTATATATGATATTCCATATAACTTTTTGGTAGAAAAATTCATTATTCTCTACAGAAATCTTTATTTTATAAGCTCTCGCTTGAGTTGATGGTAAAAGAAACAAAAAGGAAAGATATTATATGTTGCCAAATATAAATCTTGGCATTTGTATTGAAATTTTTATTAAATAAAAGAACTAAACACAAAAGAATCAAAATCGTTTGCTATTTGAGCTGTTGTAAGAATCGTTCACGAGTAAAATTACTAATTTGTTATTTCTACCTACTTTAGTCATACGATCTGTATTCCTTAGATTTTTTTTTAGAGTAAAGAAGAATATAGTAAAAACTTTATATGAAGGAAAATAATTTAACAAGTGTTTACTAAATAAAATGGATATTAACAAGATAAAAAATTTTACGTTATCTTAAACTTAATTAGCACTGTTTAAATTATCGCCTTAAAGTTACCTAATTATCGATTAAAATTACCTAATTTTACCTCATTTACCAATTAGCATAGATATAAAAATCATATTTTATTTAACCGAATAAACTGTTTTTATGCCATGCTCTAAGGATTCATGATAAATTACCAATTTTTTTAAATGTAATGAACTTATATTTTATTATTAATTTCAACAAAATCATTACCGTAGCCCTTAAGTAAAAATTACCTTATTTTTTGCATTCCCATAGAGAGTTACGCAAGAAATTTGACGATATTCTGGCAGTTTTGACTATTGTCCGTATTTTTTTTCTCAGAGTAAAGTTATGTAATGCTCTAAAGTATTGTTTCAATATTACTTTTTTAACAGTTCTCAAATCAGTTAAATCTAACATATTCTAATAAAGATTTTATTTATTGCTAATTAACAATTTCTTCTAATTATTGCTAGCGTAAAAATTAACTAGTTTTGATTTTGATTATCGAAGGGAATTTGTTGTTTCAAAGTTGTATTGAGAAATAGTGTGAGGCAAGGTTTATTTATAATTCCAAAAAAAAAAAATAGAAAAGAAAAGAAAAAGAAACCTAAACGGGGAGGAGTATTTTTTTAAAAAATCCAGATTTAAAAATAATTTTTGAAAATCAGAACTTTACCACGCGTTTAAAACGTTAAAAATTAAGGTCAAGATTCCTGACTGTAGGAAAATCATATAACTTTTTTTGAATAATATACAGAATGGGAAAATATTGGGTCTTCTAATGTATTTTACGTTTATTTGTATTAGTTAAACAAGTATTTGTTACGCGTTTTGAAACATTTCCTTTCCCTTGTTCCTTAATTGATATTAGATGAAATGCGTTTCCTTTATAAGAATTTTTATTAAAGCAATCATTATACTTTCCCTGCATCATATAATCTTATGCTCAATGCACATCCTCGGAAGAAGGAAGCGATTAAATAAATCAATTAGTTCCCATAAATACATTCATTATTCATTTAATAAAAGTCGAAATGATTACTTGCCTTTACTCAATCAAAACTTGAAATTAATTTCGGCAAATTATATAAGTCCCTCTTAAAAAATTACTCGATCCATCTTAGACAGATTTGGATTTACAAAACCATAATTTTTTATCAAATTGTAAAGTTTAAGATTCCATCACATTAAAATAATTTAGTAATCTTATAAAACTTAAAAAGATATGATAATTACAATATTTTTTACTTCTAAATTGCAAAGAAAAATATTTTTTTTTTATTCTGATATCTTTTGGTTTACAGTGATGACTTATAGTGCATAATATTTTAACTCAGAAAAAAATGTCCCTATTTAATGCTTGCTTGTTTTTTAATACATTTTTCTGTTCCGTTATAAAGGGCAATGGTTCCACGTTATCTATGGAAAGATTAAATCTGTTTTTTGAAGGCTTCGTCGTAAGATGAAATGATGCTTTTCTTGCGAAAAATATGTTATTTTCATAACTGCCGCTAATTTGCAACTGTTAGGTCAAGTTTAGCTTCTCTAAAGCCAGCGCTGTCAGCGCTTATTTTGAAAATGGCGCATAACGTCGAAATGGAGAAAAACCACAGTTTTGTGAAAGTGAAAAACGTTTGTGATCTAATTCTTTAATATTTAAAATCTTGCTCCAACGCTACAATACCAGGGCTCATAAAAATTAGCGAAAGTCTATGTGAAAAAATGCGGCTAAATTGGAGATTTCAAAGAAAGTTTAATAACTTTTTAAATATTTAAGTTATTGGTTCGTTCTAAAGCTCAAAATATTCTTCACGGCAAGATGATATAAATTTTTTATTATCACATTGCTTCAAGTGTAAGGCACTTAAACTATGGCTTTTTTTATTTTCCTTGACGATTGAGCTTCAAAAAACGCTTAAGAAGAAAAAAAATTGTAAGCCATTTAATGTCTCTAAAGTAACAGTTACCAATGTTTTCCAGCTAATCCTAAATGATCGACCTCTTTTTGGTGGAGGGTCGAATAATGTAAATCGAATATATCTACCAAAAAAAATCTATTTTACGAAGCATCGCCATCGTCATGCAATATATTTCAACATGATTCATGGATCTAGAAATCGGTTGTTCAATAATCCAGAGTTAACTTTCCGCTCTACCTCTTGTCCTAGAACACAGACAACTGCTATACATACGCAGAAAAGAATTCTAGTCAAATTACTGTATTGTGTGGTAGTAAAATCTCAGGCAAAAAAAATGTCCGACTATTAGAACCTAAATATATTGTTTTTAAACCATTCATTTGTAATTTTTTCCGTAAATATGGCAATGGTTTGCAGGAAATTATGGTTTTCAAAATTATTGCTCTTATTACTACACATTTTATAAGAAAAAGTACATAATTGAAAATTAAATTGAACCAAAAGAACTGTTTTCATACTAAGGTATCATCATAAAAGTAACCAATTTTACAGCATTTATCAAACTTTGTCACATATTATGAAACCTTATTTTATCGTTAATTTAGCAAAATTATTACTAAAGCACTTCGGTTAAAAGTACCGAAACATTGTAAATTTGACCACATTCCGGTAGTTTTAACCATACTTTTTTCTCAGTGTAGTTGAATTAGGTTTTTGCAATGGTGAATAGTTCCCCAGCTGAATCAACAAACCTGCTTGGGAAAACCAAAAGAATTACAGTTAATCAGAAATTCTGCTTTTCAATATTGTAGCTCAGATTACCCACATATTTAGCAACATGTTTTATTCTTGTACGTATTTATTTGTTTAACTTCTATGTAACTAAAAAAAATTTATTTCTAAGTACTTAGTAAAATTTTTCTCTTTTGAATATTTCATTTTTCCTAATTAACAAGAAAAAAAATATTACGAGGCTTTAGATATTTTTAAAATCTTTATTACAAAAATGATAAAATAATCTAATCATTATTATGTACAATTTTTACAACGTCTACACACTGAACATTAGAGCCATAATGTAATGGCTGCTCAATGCTAGTAATGAAGTAAAATGATAAAATAAATGTATACACATGTATATGTATCTTGAAATATACCTTATTAAAATTTTTATATCATATTGTTTCGATTGATAATTAAATCATCATAAAGCTTAAAGTTCAGGAAATAACGACTAGTTAATTTTAAATGCGAAACAATATTTTTTTCTCAGCTATCAGTTCAGCTTTTTTTTTCAGTTAGAAATGTATATTTATATGAATTCTTATAATACTTTATAGGTTTATCTAAAAACATTGAATCATTTTATGCACTGAGGTAACAAAAGTCAAGAGATAACTATGTGCACATATACAACTGACAGCAGTATCACGTGTAAACTCTTTATAGGCAGGAGGGCACTGAGAGAACTTTAATTTGTGGTCAAGTGAATCATCTGAGAAAGTTTCTGATGCAATTATAAGAGCAAGACGAGAATTAACAGGAATGGTAATAAGAGCTAGATAGATAGAACATTCCTCTTTGGAAATTGTAAGGGAATTCAACATGCCTAGATCTACAATGTCAAGAATGTGCCGAAAATACCTAATTTCAGAGATAACCACATGGTAACTATTAAAAACATAGTAGCCGGCCAATTAAGGACCCAGGCCACCAATGTGTGCACAAACTTGTCAGTGTTAACAGACATTGCGTGAAATAACCGCAAGCATCTATGTGGGGCCGGAAATGGTAATAGAAGTGTTCGAGAATTCGAGAGAGTTCACAGAGCCCAGCAATGTACCTAAGTTGTCAACGGTTTACTGTGGAATCAGATGGTGGCTCCATAATCTGAGGGTGGACTGCTTTCTCATTGCATGGACTAGGTCCTATGGTTTAATTGCACCAATCATTGACTGGAAATGGTTATATTCAGCTAATCTGAGACCACTTGCAGCCATTCATAGATTTCATGTACCCAAATAACGATGGAATTTTTATGTAGAACAATGCGCTATGTCACCGGGTCTTAATTGTTCGAGATTGATTTGAAGATCATTCTGAACAATTCCAGAGAACCAGTCCATGCTCAAAATCCTGCACCAGCAGCACCTTCGCAATTATGGACATCTATTGAGGTTGCGTGACTGAATATTCCTGCAAGAGGCTTTCAACTACTTGTTGTGTCAATACCATTTCGTGTTATTTCATTTCGTAGAGTTAGCGGAGTTCCAACAAGGTATTAAAATGTATTCAATGACTTTTGCTTCCTTAGTGTATAAGTTCAAGCTAATACAGAAGCTATTTATGTGTGAACAAACAATAACCTTATAATTAATTCGTTAACTAAAATTATTTTCATATTAGCTTAACAATTGGATACTCTCATCTAATCACGTGGCTGTGCATGATGTTTTAACATTACAGCTTTAAAATTTGGGTTTATTATCCCTCTGAATCAATATTCGAATCATATTTCATTTAATACCTGAGACATCACGCGTGCGTGTCAAACCTGAATGGCTGATCCACGCGTGACGCCGCTTGCAAGTACCCAATTCTGTTATCATCTCAGCTTCTCATTAATTTATAATTATCAGAGATTTTGCAGATGAATCTGCTGTTTTCTTAAAATTAAATCATAACAATAATACATCAAGTTAACATAACAGAACAAAAATTAACTATGAGTTAATAATAAACTGGTAAATATGATGAAGCTGCATAATATTGTGGATCATATGCTGGAGCATAATTATAATATTGAGTACTGTGGTGACCATGATGATCATGGTGGCCATGGTGAATTTCATGATGATGTCCACCGTGATGGTGAATTGGAATCGGGATAGGTATCGGATGACTCTGATGGTGCCCATGATGCCTGTTCAACAACTTGGCGAGAATTCCAGCAGCTAGAAGCATTTCTATACCTGAGTTGCCGCCACCTCCTTGACCATGGTGCCTTGCCTTAACACTTATCCATATTTCGCTTGATAGAAGCAGAAATATGCTTATCATAGCACTGTACAATTTGAAAGTATTCATGGTTTTTCTGGAAAAAGATATATCTTCAGTAAATTAAAATCTATAGGGTTATACATTGGCATAAAATTTTCGAACTCGCAATCCTTAAACTGGATTTATTTAAACCAATATAAAAAAAAACAACCAAATGTAAACATAATGAAGCAAAATCATGACTAAAGTAAGACTGATAAAGTTTATTTAGAAAACGAAAAATTCGATCTGAGGTAGTCAAAGACGGTAAAGTTGCAAAAGGGAGGTCATATGCCAATCTTTAAGTAGGTTAAGTATCTTGAGAAATTTAGCAAGTAAATTTTAATGAAATAAATTTTTTGTAATTTTTTATTTTTATAAATGTACATGTTTATCAGTTTATAAATGTTCTTATATTATGAAGTCCGTAATACTAATTCTTAGCGTATTTTCCCATGTATCTGAAACAATGTAAATAATCCAAAAATTTTGTGTGCACTGTTAGAAAACTTTTTATTCGAAATAATTTCACGTAAAAGAATTTTATAATAATTTATAATTTTTTTGTTTAACTCAATTTTGATCTAAAACAATTTTGTATAATATTGTATAGGAAGTTTTATTTTATTTTTCACTGTGTAATTTTGAATGAGAAATTGCAAAAGTTAAGCGAAAATCATGAATTTTTTAAATCTATATTTCTCAAAAACTATTCGATTTTTCTAATTTTGTCATACAAAATAATATGGTTTGAAAAGCTCAGCTTCAACTTGAGAATCCAACAATTTAAGATAAAATTCAAAAATTAAATAACAAAATTTAAATAATAAAATTTTACCAATTCAAAATGAAATTTAAATAATATAAGACAATAAAGTATAACTTTCAACAAAGATTTATCTTTTGGATTACTAGGTTTTATAAATGAAATAATTTTTTTTTGGATCCAAAGATATGGCGAAATTTTAACAAAAAAAAACTTAGAAGGATTCTAATGACTTAAATGTATTAAAAAGAAACAGAAATTTCATCTATTTTTGTGTTTTATAAAGGAATACACATAATGTAAGTAAAATTAAACTTACTTGTTAAATAATATGTTAAAGGCAATATGTTTTTACAGCAAAAACGAGTTAAATGTTTACATAAATTTCGAAACTGCGGATAAAAAAGAATTAAGTTAAGAATTAAGTTTTAAGAGCATTCGTTTAAAAAAATAATTATGTTTTAATCTTAGATAATTTAAATCAATGTTATTTTCAGTAACGAAACATTAGATTTATAAACTACAAATTTAAAATATGCTCATTCTTTTTATTTCCTTAATTTATTCGAATCAAATTAGCGTTAGAATAATACAAATTCGAGAAATACTTTCAAAATTTTATAAAAATATTGTTAAATGATAATGTCTTTGAAGCTGTTAAATTTTTAATGTTACAGCAGGACTTCGGGAAACTGACAAAATGCGTTTGAAATTTTACAAATGTTTCCTGAAGGTTTAAATTAAAATATACTTTTTTTTAGTTTCACAAAAAAATTAAAAATATTTGTCAACTTAAAAAAAGTGTTTCATTTTCGACCCATTACTAGAAACTGTGAATACATTATTAATTTATAGTTCAATATATATATTCATTATTTTAATTTTCTGTTTAATGAAAGTCAAAAAAACAATAATTATGTGTTTTAAATGTTTTAATATTCACAACAACAACCCAATCTCTAAATAAATCATTCATCAATATTTATTTTACGTCCGGGTACTCCCAAGAACAGATAACCTAAAAAAAATTGTCCAAAAAATTTATCATTTTTGATTTTTATCCTCATTTATCACAAATCTAGAAAAGAAAACACAAGCAAAAAGTGAGCAATCCCCCTTAGGCGACAAGTCAGAAGTTAATTCCAGACATTCACTCAAATATTTTTAAATAAAAAAAGACAAACAAACGAAGCCAATCTCGAGCTCGTGTGGGCGTTGAACCCCATTCACTTTCATTCTAAACAAAGCGTAAAAGGAAAAGTAAGGACACACAAGTCGCAAATCGGACATTTTTGAGGCTTGCTAAGGTAAAACATGCCAAACGCAAAATACTCGACTCTTTATCCTTTTGGAGATGGGGACAATTCGTACAATTCTTTTTTGTGAACATTTCTCCCAGCATAATAAAACGGTTGGCTTTTAAATATATTTTTTTTAAACGTTTCCTCTCAGTTTAAGGAAGAAAATTATGAGAAATAGTCGTATTTTGAGCAGCGTTGCGCGGTAACTCAGGGATGTTGATAAAAAAAAAAAAAAGAAACAATCTCGGCGAAAATAATAATGAGGATAAAAAAATACATTTGATATCAAATATTCTTTGAATGGATTATTAAGGGATCTTTATTTATTAAAATTAAAAAATGAAATCGTGTGTAAATATAGTAAGCAATTATTTTAAAATGTCAATGGAAATACTTGTTTAAATGTATCTTTATATCTTATCGTAGATTGTAAAGCATTGTATGAATTGTTTATTTATAAGAATGCAATTATTTGGAATTGTTATTTTATGGTGATAAGAAAAGAATTTAGAAAGAAATATATGGGCGAAAATGATGAGGATAAAAAAATTAATTTGGTATTTGATATTCTTAGTATAAGTCATTAAATTTACAAAAGAACTTATATGAGCGAACTTTATATTTTCGGGTCTAATAAGTCTTTTTATTTTTATTCATTTAATACTGAAGGCTTATATTTTCAATAATTTTTAATAAATTGTCTTCTTGTATGTATGGGTGGTATCTTAGGTTCGAAGTTTCAACCACTTTCCGACTAGATACAGCGCTTAAATCACTACAGTTGTTTCAAACCTTTTAAAAATGAAAATATACATAATTTCCTGTCCCTTTCAAGTAGAATTTATTATCGTTTGTATAATCAAATAGAGTTTGTAAGCACTCAAAACTCCAACCATTTTCCGACTAACTAGAGTTATAGAAACTCAACCGAATCTCTGCGCTTGTGATAGCATAAGTTTCATTCGCTACCCGACTGCTACAATTGAATTTTTTTTCTCTTTATTAGTGTTAAAAGAAATCTATTGTCAATCAAAGCTTTGTCGAATTAGATAGTGTGTTCAAAATTTTAACTAGAGGTTGTGCCAAATGACAATGCAAATACCAACGATTTTCGATCACTAATACTTACCGTTAAAAATTTAACATCAATACAAATTTCCCCCACTTTACGAATAGTCAGCTTGCTTAAAACTGAGGTAGAATACTGTGCTGGCTGACATTAAAATTTCATTCATTTCCTCGAAGTTTCAACCGTTTCCATGAAAAGGCAAGTAAATATAATCACTATTTTTTGTGCCAATGTATTTGGACTCTTTTTCCAACCGAAACAAATCAATAGACTTAAAATTAAACAGTGAAAAATTATAAAATAAAATAAAAATTTTAAAACTACGTTTTTCAAGTAGACGAAGGAGAAAATAATTATGATTTTTCCGCACTTAGAACGAAAAACCTAGGGTGTATCATATCCAAAATTAACTCCGATTGTCGATGAATATCCCCCCCCCCCGTTTATAAGAAATCCACCACCTTTCATAAGAGATCCATCGAAATATTATCTCAAGTCTATTTGAAAAACTAAAGCTTTAAAACTTTTATTTTATAATATTATAATTAATAGATATCACTGTTATAAGGCAGTTTCCTTCTTAGTTTAATTATTTATTCATTTTTAAGGAGAAGGAACGCAAGAGAAGATCAAATCTTTTACCTTTTCAACATGATATTGACCCTGCGAATTTAATCAATCTGTGTATCAGATGAAAAGAGCATGTAACGTTAAAAAGTTTAATCACTTAATCTAAANTTTAATTTAAGCCGCTGGGAGCATTTTAAAATTGATGAAATTTTTTTTAAAAAATTTTAAATTTCTCAAAAATGGTCCAAATATTTTTTACAAAAATTTTTGCAAGGGCATATCTTGATAGAATACATAAGTTATAAAAAAAGTTTTAGTGTAGCATAAAAATTAAAAAAAATTTTTTTGAACGTCCACTGTAGCCTTAATCTAAAATTGATTGGTTTAACGCTTTACTCTAAAATTGGTATGTTTAACGCTTTAATAACTATAATATCCTTTTCAATAAATATAATATCATTTTAATAAATATAAAATCTCTTATTGCTTTGAAGCTCTGGGTAAAGGTTCGTCTTGAGATATAAAAAACTTTAGGGGAGCTTAGAATCGTAAAATAAGTTTCCCTGACAAAAAATTGTCGCATCCACTAAGTAATTTACTCACTGATAATTTGTTCGATGTTCGAAAATGTCTCACATATTTTCTGTTGTGCTCAAGACGGGAGATATTGCAGACCCCCGTAGCAGAAACCCACCAATAAGTGAGCAAGTTCAGCAGAGATCATTACAGTATCTTGAAATTATTTTTGATCGAAGTTTTATTTTTGTTTTTAAAAAGAAACAAACAAAATGAGAGAAAAAAATTTCTGAAAATTCTTTTTCCTTTAAAAAAAAAAAAAAAAACATTTTTAATGGTTTTTCTAATAAATATTTTTAAAAAAAAATGCGAATTCAGAAAATACCGCAAGGAACAAAGTAAAGAATATTTTCTTTCTCTTACTTAATTACAAGCTTAACCTATTAATGATTTATGAGTATTCCTGTTTTTTTTTAGTATTATTGCATAAAATTCGACTTAAATTTAAAAAAAAACATCAAGTTTTAGTGCTTTTAAGCTTTTTTTATTAATTTTAAGTCTTTATATTTTCAAATTTTGCTACATGCATGTAAGATTCGGATGATTTCTTACAATAATAATTTCTGTCTGACTGAGTTGAGGTCAGTGACAATTTTGGATTTATGAAATTAGTGCTGCAGATTCATTGAATCATCCAAATTTTTGAAATCATCACACTGTTAGAGGTCCTTATTAAAACTAGCAGTAACTTGTAATAAACATATATATATATATATTTTTTTTTTTAAATTAAATATTTCCATTTTTAGTACATTTGTTTATTGAGGAGAACA